CCCGGCACTTGGGAGGCTAAGGTAAGATCCATTTGAGTTCAAGGCCAGCCTGGGTTACACAAGTGAATTCGAGACCAGCTTGAACTACACGCAAAACTTTATCTCTAAGTAAATAAATAAGAGACCATACAATCCTCAGTAAGTTAAAGGCAATGATAGAATACTCCATGCCATCACATACTCTTTTGAAGGCAAAGCCAATATATTAAGATACAGACATCTCTGGCTGGGGATGTAGTTTAGTGGTACAGCACTTGCCTAGTTTAATCCAGGTCCTAGGTTCAAATTCCCAACACCATTCAAAAAGGAAAAACTCCAAGCATTCTTGCTTAAAATACTGTTAGGTATACCCTTCACACAGAAGGAAAGTGATTCCACATGGACTGAAATGAGGAAGAATATATATGTACAGATTTTTGTTTTGAGACAGAACCAGGCTGTTCTGGATCTCCTGGGCTCAAGTGATGCTTGTGCCTCAGCCTCCCCAGCACTGAGATATATGCATGCCACCATGTCCAGCTAAACAAGATTTTTAAAAAATAATACCACCACTATGTAGTGTCTTAACAGAAGGAAAGAAATGGTTTAAACTATTCTAATGTCCTTAAGTACACAATGTGGTAAATTTCTAGAATAATCTATCATAACATTAGGGGCAGAATATGTAACTTCCAAAATAAAATAAAAATACACACTTTCAAAACCCTAAAAGAAAAATAGGTAGACAAGTAGAAAGCACAAGTATAATTAAATCTAAACTTCGTAGTACTTACATCAAAAAGCTGAAGGCTCCTCTGGCTTTAATAAAATCTAATGACAACCTGATTCCTGAAGGCAAAACTGAATTGCGTAGCAGGCTGTGTCCTACTGTGAGTTACTCCATGTTGTATAAAATAGTAGCACTCAGGCTGTGCTTGGTTTTGAATGACTGTGTTTTATAAAACAACACTTTGTTCCATTTTGTTTCATTTCCAGATGCCCAGGCAGAATAACTTGTCTACATAAACAGGGAATCACCAGATCCTAGACACACCACACTTCAAGAACATCTCCCAGATGCACAGCACACTGAGGCATAAACTGATAATCATGCTAATAAAAAACATCTAAAACTTATCTATTTAATCAAGGGCACATGGTCACATGACAAATCTAAACTGTATAAAAAAAAATGCCTGTGTGATCATTGCATATACACCAAACCAACAATGATACGATCTCTTCACCTCGACCATATAAAAGGAGGGACACCCAACATTGGGGTGCAGCACCACATCAACCTATCATCTCATGGGCTCATCTGGTAAACGTAACGCGAATGTCAAACCATAAATTCTGGCTCTCACCTCCCCCGCCCAATCAGCACTGGCTCAGCTGGGTCTTCCTACCTAAGGAGTACTACTTGAACTCTCACCTGTAGCTCAGACTCAAGACCCGGAACCATGTTGTGTGTGGCTCTCAACAAGCCCCAAACTGGTTTTACAGATCATCTCACTAACCACCTGAAACTTTTCACATCTCTGTTAACCCTTTCTAAATCATTCTAACAATATAGAGTACTGTGTGAAAGTGATGTGTGACTGGAGCATTAGAAACACTGTTAACTAAAACTGAGAAAAAAAGAACCTGTAATTGATTGCCCAGCTCACTTGCTACTGAAGTGAACCTTGACGATGCCACCAAAAAAAGCCTAGAAAATTGTAATTCATGGCCGGGCATGGTGGCTCATGCCTGTAATCCCAGCACTCGGAAGGGCTGAGGTGGGAGGATGTATTTAGAGTTCGATACCAGCCTGGGCTACAAAGTGAGCTCAAGGCCACCCTGAACTGCATAGCGAGACCCCATCTCAAAAAAAAAAAAGAAAAAGAAAAATTGTAATTCATGACTTTACTGTTATTCCATAAATTCTGACATTGGGAAAGATATAAACATATCTGGTATACATTGCTGGCATTTGCTCACTCACAACAGAATATTAAAAATGAAGAAAATCTTCCATTAGAGAAAAGATAGGAGAGGACTGATTTTGTGGTCTTGTAATACCAAGATATCCATATACCTATCAATTAACTCACTATTATTCTGGTAAATCTTACTCTGAACAGATTCCCTTATACCATCAACAAGAATGCTCTCATTAATGGAGCTCATTTTGTAAGGGAGTATTACAGACTTTACTCTTAATTGCAGATAATTTTTTTTTTTTGAGACAGGGTCTTACTATGCAGTTCAGCCTGTCCTTGAACTCTGTAGTACAGGCTGGTCTGGAACTCACAACGCCCTCCTGCATCAGCCTCAGCCTGGCAAATGCTGGAATTACAGGCATGCGCCACCATGCCCAGCACTGCACATAAAATACTAAGCACCTTCCTTAACAAAACATTTCCAGTGGTGCAGGGCCTCAGTAAGTACTATTTGGCTCCAATACAATCTCACAGTTTAAGCAGCATTATTTAGTCACTTAACAGTCAATTTAGACCCAACAGTTTTAACTACGAAGCAAAATGGACTATTTGAGACTCTCAATCAGGTTATTATATAGTCCAACAGCAGAGAAGCAACTCAAGTTGGGGTGATGTTTGGCAAAAATTCACCCAAATTAACAACTTATCCACATGTGACTTCCCAAGCTACATGTATCTGTAGCATAAAACTTATGTATTCCTAGTATACATTAGGCTAAGAAGTCATTAATCAACTATGCATAAACAAACTCCTTGTTAGAATCAAACCTCATGATTATAGTACCGCTGCTTTCTATCAGAGCACAGTGGAACCCAAGATAAGCCTTTCAATTCAGATCAAGTCAAGGGACCATCCTTTAAAACCAGTACAAAAATCGCCTCATGCTTGTTACCATTGTTCAGTTCTGTAACCTTGGATAATTTAACCGTGTTGTTTGTTCCTAAGATTCACTGTTAGAATGTTAATGCTACCTGCCTACCTCTAAGAGTTTTAAATGAGTTAATACGTGTACAAAAATTTCGGATAATGTTTAATCACTAAGTAACTGTTTCCTGCTCTTTCACTCTTACTTTAGAAAATACAATGACACCTGCATCCTTTCCCGGGGTAGGGGGAAATCACTATGTACCTAAGAAATAAAAAATGTATCCAAATAGTTAATAGTAAAAGGAAACACTGGAAAGCAAAAGTACAAGAGATCACTTTGAGAAACCTACATTTCAATATGCTCCGATAGTCTTCAGTCAATGTACAAAGGCACTTACAAAGGTGAAATAGCAGCTCCCATCTTCTAAACTCTACTTACTCTGGTCAAACTAGAGACTTAATACCAGTTCCTAAAAATTTTTTGCATAATTATATATTACTATCTCCTTTTTTTCTCTTTTTTCTCAGCATTCACGTTTTATATACAGTACAGCTTTACTTTCTTCATGTTGTATAGGCATTTTCACTTTAGTATTTTGTAAGAGTATTGATTTGACCATGTATTTTAACTTGAGCAACTCCAAATAAACTTGACATACAAGTATCCCTAAAGATAACTAACAACCTCATTTGCCTCCAATTTTGCATAAATTTAATCTATGTTATTAGGGTCTTCTCTTATCCAGTCAAACAATGACTACCACTTTCCCACGGTAAGAACTATTTAAACTGGCAAGAAAATAGGACAGACACTAATTTCAAAAGAATGTTTTGACTGTATTTTCAAAAACAGCGATTTTGTCTTATAGCTCTTCGTAAAACCAGGAAGCAGAGTGAATTAGAGATTAAAGTGTCTTTTCACAACTCATCACAGCAGTGAGGGTCTAAAATACGGACTCCTTGCAGACAGCCCTCGCTTCGTTTGGCTCGGACAGCTTATGGGGAAGGGGAAATCACACCTTAGTACCTCTGCTCTTCACTGGCCAATCCTGAGACTGGCGCATTAACAAGGCAGCAGGATAGGCTTGCCTCTGTCAGTTTATATTAATCTGTCATGCCACTTCGCATATCCCACTGAATTTAAAAAGAAAATAGCTAGGTATCTTGTTATATGAGTACTTCAAGAAGGGAATTAATTTGTTTAAATGCCCAGGAAACTTAAAAACCACTTTCACAAGCCACATCTTTTATTTTCATCTCAGAACCCTTTGGTGAGTTAGATCGACTAGCTCAAACCTCTCGAAACAAAAAAACCTTTGCCAAGGAACACATCTTAATTATAACTACACTTGGAATATGTGATACACTCTTTCGTTAACAAGAGCTAACACCAGCGCTTTACATGCGTTAACTCTTAAAGATCTCAGCCATGGGAGACGTCTCCTCCAACCCCCATCCGGTAACCTTTCCGTTTGGTACCCAGAAAGACCAAAGCCAGGAGTTAAAATCCGAGGGATCGGGCCCATTGGCTCACATGTAATTTTTGCCACGTGCCATCTCCACAACTTTCAGTAAAGAGAGCCTGATCTAGGCAGGCAGCGGCCCCGGCAGGGCCCGGGACGCGAACGCAGCCCTCACCACGTGCCGGGGAAGCCGCGGGGTTCCCCGCCCGCCGCTGCCTCGGCCGCCCCGCCCCGCCCGGGCCCGGCCCGCACGGCTCCTCCCTCCCGTCGGAATTCGCAGCCTCCGCGGTTCTTTCCATCCTCCCGCGGCCTCCGTCCGGGTGTTATTTTTGAGGGGAGCAGGGGGTGAGTCGAGGCGGTAGCGGGCCCCGCACCCCGGACGCCTTCTGGGGCCTCGCGCCGTGGCCGCCGACTTCTCGGGGCGTCCAGGCGGCGCTGCGGCCTCGCTCCGGGCCGCGCGGAGAAGCCGGTGGGGCTCGGGGAGGCTCAGGCCGCGCCAGGCCGCACCAACCCCGCGTCGCCGCAGCCTTCCCAGGAAGAGCGCCGGACGGGGCCCCGGGGGCTGCGGGCTGAGACTGCGGCGGCTCCGGGCCCGGCGCGACCGGGAGGCCCCGCGCCCGCTGCCTTCCTCCGGTCCCTCCCTTCCGCGCAGGCCTCCCCGCCAACTCCACGTTCCCCCTTCTTCTCCAGCCCCCCAGTCGTTACCAGCGGCTAGTGCGGGCAGTCAGGCGGCCGGAGCTGCGCAAGGAGTGACTCAGGGCGGCCGCGGCGGCGGGAGGAGCAGGAGGCGGCGCCGCGAGCAGATGGCGCTAAAAAAGACCCGCGAGCCCGCCGCTCGCGCTCATATACAATTAGCGTCAGCACGTAGGGCCCGCTCCGCGCCCTCCCCCAGCCTCGCGGTCACCTAGCAACGCGGTCAGGAGGCGGGCCCGAGCTGCGTTGCCTGGTAACAGAGCCGTCCTTCTTTCCAGAAGACCTCCATACCCAGGTGGCCGTCTCTTTCCCTAGCGCAAGGCTTGGGCTTTTCGGATTCCCGCCAGGGTCTATCTTCCTCTATTATGCACCGCGCCATCTTTTCCTCCGAGCTCACTGAAAAAGAAGTATCAACTTCTTGCGTTATGAGGCAGCCCTCCTTCCCAGCCCACCTCGTCCCTTGTTGTTTTTGGACCTTAGGGGTAGGGGGAGCATTCTGGCCTTTGAAGTTGCCTTGATGCCCTATCCCTCATCCAGCCGAACTGTGGCAACGACTCAGATCCAACAGCAACTTTTCCTCCCCACTCAAAAACAACAGTTTTTTGCTCATGACCATCTCGGCAGCATCTTCCACCGATTTTGCTTAAGTCAGGGAGTTTCCGCGCCTTCTATGTGGTGTTCTTAACCCTTGAGATAGGATTAAAGAACTAAAAATAGTCAAGGAAAATTGTTATTTTAAAAATGTAGTTCTAAGAAAACTGCAATTTCGGGACACAATCCAAGTTATCCAAGGTTATCTATATCTGTACTCCCAAGGTTTGCTTATGCATCCTAGCTTAGGAGCAGGCATGTCAGAAACTCTTAAGCTAATTTATTATCTTGACAGAAAATTTAGATTGGCCAGCACACTAGTTCCCTCAAGATTGAGGAATGAGGGGCTGGGGATTTAGCTCAGCGGCATAAGACCTGCCTTGCAAGCGTATGGTTGTGAGTTCTACCCCTGGTACCGGTAAAAATACAAAAAAAAAAAAAAAAAAAAAGATTGAGGAATGGAGCCTGCAAATACCAAATGGGTACCTCAAAAGACAGGATAAAATTTGGTATCTCTGCCTTCCAAGTCTCTCTTATTAGCTTAAAAAATCTGTGATCACCCTGATCATCCCTGCTGAGTTCTGCAGATAGACATGATAAGCACTGTTGGTTAGATCTAAAGTGGTTTGTCGGCCCTAACTATGTTAGTCTATCTCATCTTTTAAGACTGAGTATATCAAGGTAAGAGTAGATAGTTTTCAGTGTTTGCAAGCGTATTCAATTGATAGCTTTCAGATCTGTTCTAGACCCTACGAGAGTGATGCCTAGACAAATCTACTAGAATCCTCACATTTAGTACCCATTTCTTCCCTTTTTTGGCAGGGGTGGGGGTGAGCACGGGCACCAGGGATCCAACTCGACCTCCCTCGCACTTGCAGGCTGGTGCTGGTGCTTTAGCTTCTGAGCTAAACCCGAACCTCTCTTATATTTTTAAGGATGCAGTTTTTTCCTTGACACTTCCCAGTCTTGCCGAAATTAGTACTTTTTCACATTCTACAAATGCCTTAGTGTACGCATTCAATTTGGTTCTTGTAACGTGATTTTGTTTTTCTTAGCCTTTTTTCTTCATATATATAAGTTTGACCCGGTCTGATTTCAATGGAAACCTCAGGTGTGTTGTCTTCTAATCAAAGGTCTGCACAATATAAAGTAATTAGCCTATTTAAATAAACTTTCATAAACTTCATGATGATAGAATTTCTGAGACATGGTTTATATCTCACTCCAGGAAGCCTCATCAGTTTCTGCCACTTCATGGCTCTAAGGCTATTAATTTCTTGGGTTTCACCACCCCCACACCTCCATAATTAAAGGCTGATCATTACTAGTTTATATGTACCTTCTTACATTTCTCCATCTTTTTCAGTGTATCCTAGCAACTAAACAGTGAAAAACTGCTAATAATCCATGCCTTTTTAATGTAATCTTTTGATCCACAGTTTGTAAGTTAGAATCTGCCATTAAAACCAAAGAAGACCGATCATTTATATAATCATTCAACAAATCTTTATGTGTTGGGCTCACTTGAGACACTAGAAATACAACATCGTACAAGAAAGACAAGATTCTTTATTCTATTGAACTTACATTCTGGTGAGGTAGGGCAAATCATTAGTAACAAGATAATTTCCAATGCTGGTAAATGAGACAGCTATTTGGAAACAAATGAGACAAAAAGTCAATTTGTGGGGCTGGGGATTTAGCTCAGCGGCATAAGCACTTGCCTTGAAAACAGGCAGTCGTGAGTTCGATCCCTGGTACCAATAAAAACGAAAAAAAGCCAAAAAAAAAGTCAATTTGTTTTTGTTTTTCATAATTCTGAAGATTAAAATCTAGAATCAAGTTGCTGGCAGAGTTGGTTGGGGGACATGAGACTTTCTTTAGGCCTTTCTCTGTGGTAGAAGATCACCTTCTCCCTCTATCTGTGTGTCAGCATCCAAATTTCCTATTTTAATAAGGACATCAGACTAGGGCCCAGCACAATGACATCGTTTTAATTTGGCTATCTCTGCAAAGACCTGATCACCAAATAAAGTCACATTACAAGATACTGGGGTTTAGGAAATTAACATATAAAATTCACAGTGACATAGATCAACCCAAAATATTAGACTAGAGCAGCTAAGTAAATAATTGTAGGTAATGATCAGTGAAAATGTCAAGAATAAACAAGCAGAGAGGGGCTGGGGATTTAGCTCAGCGGCATAAGCGCCTGCCTTGCAAGCAGGCAGTCGTGAGTTCGATCCCTGGTACCGATAAAAAAACGAAAAAGATCTAAATAAATAAATAAATAATAATAAACAAGCAGAGAAGGCTACAATGAACCCTTGGTGCTATATTAGGATCAGAAGTATCAGTACAAATTCATGTTTTTAGATATATGAAGAACAAATAGATGGATGACATATATATGATATAGGTGTATAGGCCAGGGGTTTAATTAAAATGAATTAATAAATTGACTAGAGGGTTTTTTTCACCATGTAAGGAGAACTTGTAGCATATATTAAAAAAAAAAAATAGAATGTGGCTATGCATCTATTGCCAATACTAAACATTCAATAAAGTTTGCAGTATTCTAACTCTGAAACATCAAACTATGATTCTTGTAATTTGAAAGGTTAGTTCTTAAAGCTGGAAAAAGCAAAGAGCCTTAAAATTAGGTTTGTCTCTAGTTATAATGCTGAGTGAATTTGAACAATTAGAGGAAACTAAAGATACAGAGCATAAATAAAGCTAAATAACAACAATAATAATTACTTTTTTGTCAGTAGTACTAGGGTTTGAATTTAGGAGCTTTGCACTGAGCTATACTCACCCCCTTTTATTTTTTATTTTGCCATAAGGTCTTGCTAAATTGTCCAGGCTGGGTTTGAACTTCCAGCCCTCTGGGCTCTGCCTCCATCTGCGATTACAAGCCCACACCATCATGCCTGGCTACTAACATTTATTAAATGCCTCTTATGTGTTTTACAAATACTAACTCATTTAATCTTAATGACAGTCCTATGGTACACTCTATATTGTAGAGGGAGAAACTGTAGTTCAAATTGATCTGGAATCTATGTCCAGGCTGCACAGCCCAATAGCAGAGCCAGGCTTTATATAAGCAGTCTAGCATCAAAGTCTGCGCTAGACATATAACCATGTCTTCTCCAGTTATATAAATAAGGTGTAGTCCTAGGATCTAAGGAATTCGTTTCAAGAAAGATGGTGTAAAAAAAAAAAAAAAGAAAGAAAGATGGTGTGTAAACAAGTGCTAATAACTCAACATAGGCTTAATATAAAAGGGCATCTGAGAAAATTGCAGAGTGACACTACAAACAAACCTTGAATGGGAAATAGGAATATGCTTTGTGACTATAGAACAGACATTCCTGGCAAGCAAACAACCATAGGATAAAAGTTTGGCTTCGTTATACAAAGTGAGAGTTCAGAACTCAAATGACAGTCTCCAGCTTTGCCTGGATGTGGATTTCACTACAGAAAAAGTCAAACCAAGCCATCATGAGATACTGCAGATAAGCACTGCGTATTTGTCAATTCAGTTTGGGCTGATTCATTCTGGTTACAAGTGTCAAAATGTAAAGGATTAAAAATATTATTTCTTAGCAATGAACACATACTTTTACATTGTTTCATAAACTTAGGGATAAGATGATAATCTTAATAGATCAGGAACCAGACTAAATCTATTTTCTCAAATCCTATGAAATAATTTATGTTAGAAACAATTTTGGAAAATATGTTACAAAAACCCAGAAGACAGTAACTAAAACAGTAGAGGCTGAGGCCACAAACTCTCTAGTTTACCCTGTGTGGGCTAAATTGTGTATACATTTTAGCTCTCACAACAACTCTGTCAAGTGGCTACCATCAACATCGATATTGTATGGATAACTTGAAGTACAGAGAGGCTGAGTAACTTACACAAAATTGTGATCTATAATTGGTAGGCTCAGGATTCAATAAAATCCAGGGATTCCAGTCTGAATAGAAGAGTGATGCTATTTGATTTTAATTCATTTTTAATTCAGCAGATGATCTAGTGTGGCCTAGATTGGTAATCACAAACTCAAACACCCATATAGGCTAGGTCAGAAGCACACTGCCAAGTCAACCAGGAGCACAGGACGGTGGAAGGGAGTCGAAGGTATTCCAAACAACGGGAGACAGCAGCTGCTTTTAGACAAGGCTCCTATCTGAAGCTACTCTTCACATCTGATCAGTTGTGGTCACAGGGTTAGTGTTCGTAAGTATTCCAATTTTTAGAAAGCTGGAAACACAGATCTTTATGTGAAACTTTTCAGGTTGGAAAAAAGAGTACATAAAATGATTTCAATTCTGGACTCATTTCATTTATAGTGGCCTCTACTAGAATATTGAATGTGTGATTCAGGAAAATAATTTAAGCGGCAAGTAGAGATCTAGATATCTTCAGGATGTACGTACCAAGCAAAGTCAATAAGGCTGCCTGTGTTGGACAAAAATAGAGGACAGAGTCCAGCATTTAAAGAGGACACTTAAATAAGAGCCTGGCAGAAAGGCCTGGACGAGGAGACCTGGAGGAGAGCAGTGCCTACACT